TACCCTTTTTTTACACCAAAACAAGTAGCCACCTAACAGCCACCTAATTGGGTGGCTATTTGCTCCCTAGGGTCATACCCCTCGTTTATTGTCATTTACCGAATAATGAATTAAAGATGAATGTAGGAAAATAATCATGCACGTAGTCACAATCTAAATGACAAAATGTCACAGATTGTTGAAACTCAAATTGGAAATGAAAATGTTATTTCAACAATAATTCTTGGGAGAATAACTTCGGAATAATCCATCGATAGTATCTTTTCATGAAGATAAATGTAAGGCATAACTGGGAGATACGCTCCTTTGATTGTAATTTTACTTAATTAACATTTTTTTTAAGAGTAGGACTGATAATGGCAAAGGGGCGTAAGTGGAGGGTTACGCTAAGGTTTCTCGATCCAGAATGGATTCTTTACGCGATCGATTTTTAAGGGCCGATTCTCGCTTTTTTTAATCGATTCTTCTGGGTCGATTAATCGGTCAGATTGATTCATTCCCACCGGAATCGATCTTTAAGCATCTGTAATCAGCAAATTCTGCTAAATATTCAATCATTAATAAAAATTCCACTTTAAACGAATTATCCCAATAAACCGCGATTCTAATCTCGCTTCGCTCCGAGATTCGCTCGATTAGATCTCGGTTTTCGGGCCCAATGACATAAAACACTGTATGTCACACGGCGATAAAAGTATGAGTGAGTTTCACTTTGACTTTCAACAGAGGATTATGGCACTTAAATCCCTTTGGTTCTACGGCAATGATATCATCATTATCAGTGATATTATCATTCTATTTCAGAAATAATTTCTTATCTTTGAAAATTGGATAATTCAAATAAAAAGCTAGGCATGATATTGCCACTTATTTTCTTGCTCACGCAGAAAATACCAATTTTTTAAAACAACTAACTCTATTTTTACGACAGAAATGTTTCATCTCAGGACACTCTTCAAATGTTCACTAAATTTTTTATTCTTTGTAATTGGCCATTAAGACATATCCCAAGACAATAACACTCAAAAGTTAATCTCTATGGATTTCCAGAAAAAAATCTAAATGACTCAATTTATCACATTCTCACAAATTATCGAGTTTTTCTATCCTCATATTTCTGTGGTTCCCGGTAGCTTAGTCGGTAAGAGTGCCCGGCGCGTATCTGGGAGACCCGGGTTCGATTCCCGGCTGGGTGAAGCGGAGATTTTTTCTCTGTAAATTCTAATTCTCTTAGAATTTTTTTTTCCCGTTTTTTTTTTTTTTCGATAATTGGTTGGTTAACTCAAGCAGCAATAGTTGTTGGAATCAAATAACAAATTATTTAATAATTAATTGTTTGAATCAAATGAGAAGTGCTTTCACGGAATTTCCATTTTTTAGAGTTGAATATCGCAGAAACTAAGTAGTACAAATTTTTACAAAAAAAAAATTTAAGGAGAATTAGAATTTAGAATTAACCCAATCTTGAGGTGCGCCTTGGCTAATGGAAGACAACAACTCCCCGCTCTCTTTTTCGACCAATGAAGACCGTCTTCGTGACGTCATGACCGAAAAATTGGCCTCGAAAACGATTTATTTTCAATTAATTGTCATAAGACATCTAGGCAATATTTCTCCATAATTTTCGCCATTTAGTTATCCATATGTTACGAGGAATATGTGAATAAGGAAATTAGAAAGAATTGAGCTTCATGTTCTCTACTGATCAAACCACAATCCCTCAGTACAATAATGACTTTGTCTGTAGAATTCCTTGCAACTGAAAACTGAAAATGAAAGTATATTCTAAATTCAAAAATGTGAAAACCTTAAATAAGAGTTGAAATAGACCACAGAAGATATTACTCATCTTCACCTCCATAAATGTCGAATCATTATGGATTCTACGTTTAACTACTAACGTCAATCACAAACATCATTTATTACATAATGATAATACGATAAAATTTTTCATCGCCGATTTGAATTCTTTACTATTTTTTAATGTACTCTATGAAAATGTGAGGATAGGAATTGAATTTATGGGTATTGGTTCATTATTCGAAAAAATATATCAATTTTAACATTTTCTCTAGCCAAAAATAAAAATTAAAAGTTCTGTTTTCGTGTTGATCTCGTTTCTTTTCCTCTTTTCATTTTCTTCCATCAGAATTGGATAATAAAAAGAAAATATATTGGTTTTTCTTCATTACTGAAAAAACAAAAAACCTTTTGAAATTTTCAAAATTGAAAAATCGATTTTTTAAATTTATTTCTGACTTTCCTTCCCCACATTTTCCTGTTTCTGTGGACGGAATACGATCACAGAAATTAAAAATGTTAATTTCCCTTCATTTTTTAAGAAGAAAAAATCAATTTGAAAAATTTTGAAAAGACATAGAAAAATAGATTTATTCATTTTATTGATACTGATTGATAATGATCGATCTCTCTTTGCAATTTCCTTCTTCGGTTTCATTGAAATGAGATCAAAGGGATGTAAAATGTTCAAATTCGTTCACATTTTCAGATCATTGGTACTCATTATTTTAAAGAAAAAGATAGAAATGAAAAATTTTAGGTATGATTATCGAAAATTGCTTGTCGATCTGTATTCACACGTGGTTTATGGGGAATTCCTTTCCATTCAAAGTTGTAACTTGTGAATAGGGAAAGTAATAGCGAAAAGAATCTTGGTATTCATCTTGCAGGGATAACGTCGAATGGAACGAGGAACAACAACTTCTAGCCCAAAAGAACGTATCAGAAAATTCGGTAATAACACTCAACGATGATGATTTGAAAAAAATCCATATCCAAGCTGACGAAAATTGGAATAAATTCTACGGAATCCATCAAAACAGATTTTTCAAGGATCGACATTGGCTCTTCACGGAATTCCCAGAATTAGCCCCCCACAAAGTGAAAGATGATCCTACAATCCCTCAGAAAGTTCCCTCACTGTCTTCTCATAAGGAAAAAAGGAATGGAAAAGAATTAATCGAAGACTCTGAAGGAGAACACAGAATCTTCGAAATTGGATGTGGCGTGGGCAACACAATTTTTCCCATTTTAATGTACAATTCTAATCCAAATTTATTTGTGTATGGCTGTGATTTTTCGTCGACTGCCATTGATATTTTAAAAGACAATCCGGATTACGATGAGACTAGATGCAAAGCTTTTGTGCTCGATGCAACGAGGGAGGATTGGGAGCCACCGTTTGAGGAGGAAAGTCTCGATATAATTCTCCTGATCTTTGTTCTGTCCAGCATTCCACCTGACAAGTATGTATCTGGAACGTTCTGTTATTTCGACCAAAAAGCTTGACATTTTTGTTCCTCGTCGTTTTTTCAGAAAAGAAATTGGAAAAAATTTGAAGTCACCCTGCGAACTCGTAAAACGAAAACAAAATCAACCATAATTTTTTATCGGGAATGAATGTTTTTTTAACATATTTAAAAGTGTTGATCATTCAATTTTGTTATTAGAATTTAACTAGGGGGTGAATTGCTGACCTTTCTGAATCTATAAGTATCTTTAGAGTTTGAATTCTGAGGGGGTAATCACTCATAAAATCTAGTGTACAGATAAGATTGAAATCTTAAGAAATATTGAGAAATCGCGTGAAATCCCTTGAAATCCTATAAAATCAAGGGAAATCCCATGGAATGGTGATGAGGAATTCATCGAATCTTGAGAAGGAGTTCATAAATCTCATAGAATCTTTTGAAATACCATTTCGAATTCATCAAAAAATTTTGAGGGGGCGGTAAATGAAGGCGTATGTGAACTGGGATAATTTTAGTATCCTTTTTTATTAGATTTCGGAGAGATTACTCATCTCAACCGAGTACATTGATAGTAACTTGAGTATTTATTTATTTAATAAAAGCCCTCATTCTTTGTATAATACTCGCATAATACTCAGGCGAACCATTCGTAATGAATGGACGAGGAAGAGGGCATCCATAAGTTTTGAGATCACAACAAGATGATTTCTCTGAACTCACTATAATTGAGTATTGCAATTGTTTACCTTTACCAACAATATATGAGGAAGCCAGAAGTCTTCCAATAATCGTTTTTTTCAGTTTCTTTTCCTTTCCTACACACATGAAGCAACACCACTGTCCCATATAAACTATATCACTCTTCTTGCCCTTTACTCTATATCACTCTTGAAGCCCTTTGAAGTCCCTTGAAATCCCTTGAAGTCCTAAAAAGACTTACGAAATCTTGGAAATCTTGAAATCTAGTGTACACTCTTTTTCGGAGTGATTACCCCCTCGTTGAATTCACTTCTCTAAATAAAAATCCCATCCGATTCTCTATGAGATTTTCAAAGACGATGCGAGACAAGATGACACCGGGACCAATTTCGGTCTCATTCCAATGTTGTAAAGAACTTGGGCATTTGCATAAGTGCGATCATAGTAGACAGATTTAGATATGAGAAGTTAAGCACTGCTGAGTGCGACCACTAAGTCAATGCGTCTAAACGACAAAAATACCAGTTAAAGTTAGAAATAGTCATCGGAAGAAAATCAAACTGATTCAAATTAACTCAAATTGGACGGTCGTTTTTGCTCTTTAAAGAATACGATTTTTTCCATAGAGGTGACTAAATCAATTCGAATTGTTGATTTTTATGCATATCAAACAGTTTTCCAAATAAAGAATTTGCAATTGCAACAATATTCGTATGGGATAAATTAATTTTTTTCAATTGAAATACTGTATATTGCAATACGAGTGCGTAAAAGTGATGTTTCGATCGGTGGGAGGTGTATAGCGCTCGCCGAAGGCGAATTTTACCCTCCCAAGGGTCAAAGAACACTTTTCCCATAAGTGGTGAACGCTATTTTTCATCACAATGTGTCGAAAGTGGCATTATGCGCACGCGGAGCACGCGTAAAATCTCACTTGGCACATAAGCGATGAAACTTATTTTCAATTGTTAAAAATAATTCATTAATTGGCTCTACATGTGAACTTGATCAATCAATAAAGAAGTAAATTAATGGAATGACTTTTAATTTCAGACAAAAACACGTTACACAACAAATCTTCAGATACCTTAAACCTGGAGGGCTGGTTTTACTGCGAGACTATGGAAGATATGATTTAGCACAATTGAGATTCAAAAAAGGTCGATGCCTAGCAGATAATTTCTACGCTAGGGGAGATGGAACTATGGTGTATTTTTTCACTCAAGACGAAATACGAGAATTATTTATTGAATCTGGTTTTCAAGAGGAACAGAATATTGTCGATAGACGATTGCAAGTGAATCGAGGAAAGCAACTGATGATGTACAGGGTGTGGATTCAGGGAAAATATCGAAAACCTATGATGGATGCATGAAATAAAAGTCAATCTATCCTTAAAGTTGTTTTATTTTTGCTATCTTCAAAATTGACAACTCATCCAGGAATAAATAATAACATGAATTATTGCATTTTTCACTTTCGACAAATTTAGTTTGAAGATTATTTAACTCGGAATATTGTAAGAAATCAATGTCAATATTTGATCACGTACTATGTGTTGCCGGACAAAATACAGACAATTAATCAATTAATTAATTAATTTAAGTGTGCACGTTTTATTCAATTGTTACACTTGTGCACAAACCTAAATGTGTACAATTCTTATGTTGCCGAATCATAAATTCTAATTCAAAGGGCATGATTACGATTCCTTTGGCGCCACGATTTAATTTATGTTTTCCATACCATTTTTCCCCAGGATTACGGGAAAAATAATGAAAAAATTCCATCTTCATTATTTCTCCTCAATTATAGAGATTCTTCATAGAACACGGAGGTTTATATAGCGGTCTACATCTTATGGCGTCACTAGATATTGCTGGATAAGATTTTAGAGTAGGTATGAGGGGAAGCAGGATAATTTTCTATTTTAGTTGACAAGACAAATTACCTGAAAAAATTCGAAAGTCCAGACGGAGATTGGAACCCGGGACCTTCCAATTATGTATCAGGTGCTCTCCCAACCTATGGCAAGGTCACAAGGGTCACAAAAAAAGTCACTAAGGTCGCGAAATCACAAGCGTCACATAAAAAAAAGGAATAGCTAGGGTCACGAGGGTCACAAGGGTGACACAGCCTTGATTGAATGCATTTTTGACTGAAAATTCTTTTGTTGCAGATTTTGTTGACTGAATTTTTTCGATTGTTGTTGCAATTTTTTCAGAAAAAAAATTCAATCCAAAAAATCTCCAACAAAAAAATTTCCATTAAAATTGAGTTTTGTTCTTTTGATGTTGTAAATATAATCATTGCATTCAAATGTGGGAATGTGAGTGCATGAATTGATATGTTAAGTATCTATACGAAGTTTTACGGAAATGTTCGTATCTTGAAAAATAAGGATTGAAATGCTTATATTCCAAAAACTAATTGAGGGAATTTTTCTTCATTTTTTCAGTATTTCTGGGGAAAAGAGGTACGGAAAATATATGGCAAAAAACGGCGCCAAAGGAATCGTAATTCCCTGCGCCGGGTACTCTCCCAACTAAGCTACCGGGAACTACGGAAATTCTCTCTCCAAATTTGCCGCACAACACCGCCTAACGACCTTTACGCATTAAATAAATTTAAAGAGAATTAGAATTTAAAGAGAAAACATCCCTGCCGAATTGATTAATTTGTGCAGACAATCGCCTCAGCGGTTCGTTATTTATTCGCATAAAACGTGTGAGAAAAATATTTAAAAATTGATCTCTTTTGAAAATTCAACAATTTTGCCGAGATATTTATCATTATTCTAATGATAGCATTTGATTTTTATGTCACGTCGTGCAATAAGTCGAGTTTATCGTACGCTGGGCTTCGCGCAACGAATTTTTCTCTTGATATTTTTTGTATAAGAATGTTTGATGGGCATCAATTTTCCAAGTTTTTTCCACTCTGATTGTAATGCAAAACGAAACAAAATCCAGAAAAAACTGAGAAAATTCGTGCCAAATGATTCTAATAGAGACAAAATCCCAAGAGAAAAATTCAAACAGAAATTCAAAATATATTGTCTTTTTCCTATCAAATATGCAATATAATCAGCGCAAAAAACAAGTAGAATTTTTCAATCGAATTTCGTAGCGAATTCGCTAGGTTTTTTATTAAATTTTTGCATGCCTGGAAGCGCTCAGCTACTGAAACTTTCACCTTATAAATTTAATAAACATAGACAAGTCAGATATATTTGTATGGGGATAAAGCAAAGTAGTCGACCTACAACGTTTATCAAATCAGAACAAATTTGGTTGAAATTCCTGTGTAAATTTTTTTATTATCACTATTCACTCCTGCACATCCAAAGATTGATTGCTCTCCCCCCGAGAAAAAAAAGTAAAACGCCATCTACAGGTACGATGGCGAACAGCGCCTTCACGTTCCGCACGAGGAGCATTTGAGGAAACCAACCGCTCCGAAATTTTGGATTTATCCCTCAAGAATAAAAAACAAACATATCTAAACATTTGAATGAATAGTGTTGCTCATAACTGAGTAAATTCACATTTTTATATGGCTACTATCGAGGAGATTGACATCCTGGACAGCGGAATGGGAAGCAGTGATATTCGCTCGCCAGAAGTTAAGTCCATTCTCCCCGGGGATGAAGAGGATGAGGAGGTCAGTAACGCATTATTTAGACTTTTTTTAACTGAAGTGAATTTTATTGAGTGTATCAACACTCGAAAAAGTATGGAAAAGATCCATTTTCATCGGTCTGAGACGGTGACATAGGGAACTTTATAAAAAAAGCTGATTTGGAGTTCGTATAACCTAAAAAAAAAGTTGGTGGTCCGAGCTTTTTATCAGCGAAAAACTTTTCATTAATTAGAAGAAGTTTTGAAGAAAGTTTTTAAGGATATTATGGTTTGTCAAAAAAGCAAAGAAAATTCAGAAGACGGTTTTTTTCAACATTATACGACTTTCAGAAATGGCTGGCGTTCTCACACCAGAAAAGTAAAAATTTTCACAGGAGAAGGCTTTTATGGTTTAAATCCATCAATTGATGTAATTGTAGCAATACGAAAGTAGCAGTTGTACTTGTAGTTTTTCCACTGAAATTGTTTGGAATAATTAGATTTTTTTTCAATATCTCCATATTTCTTCAGGATGAGAGTCTGGTGGAGAGGCTCATAGGGCTGACAGAGATGTTCCCAGAAGAAGTTCGCAATTTTGGGTACAATGTTGGAACCGGTGTGAAATCATGTATCAAAGGTAAAGTCTTAGTAGATATTTAAAATGTATGACATATTTGAGATATTCCATGTCACTCCGATCAACCCCTGGGGTGAGGCCTCTCGGAAATGAAAGAGTATTTTTTACAGGGTCGAAAAGTGCTAGAACCTATGTACGTATGGGAAATGTCATTTTTTCGTGTTTTTCGGATCTTCTTGCCTACAACTCGTGTTCTAATCGACCGATTTCCATTTCACAAGTAGGGGGGAGTGGGGCAAAATGAAACAGCGAGCCAAAATGGAAACAGTAAAAAAAAACGACTGTTTGATGCAATTCAAGCAAAGAAAATTTTTTTTATTAAATTTTTTTTTCATTCTTGGGAGTACTGATGAGAATAATAATTTTTCATTGAGTAGAATGGAAAATTATTGAGAAGTTTTGATGGGCGAAGATTTTGTCAATAAATTATTCGATTGAAATTTAGCATGACATTTTCCTTTTTGCCCCTCTGGGTCTCCCCCTAAGCCTTGCTTCGGACTTTTGATTTTGCTGTTTCATTTTCTTTTCAATTAATCCATTGACGAAATATTCGCCTCAAATATTTATATTTGAAAAATAGAAAACCTTTTCCACGTGCCAGTTTCTGCCACTTGGAAGGACCAAGGGTTGCCATCTTTTGGGTGGGAAAATTTCTTTTGCACTAAGATGATTTGTTTACTCTTTCTTGTTAAATTTCAAATTTAACAAGGGAGATTATCCATTGAAAAATCGTCAAGGGTTTCAGAAACCGGGATAGTGTCACTTACTGGGACATCGGCGGTATGAATCGTCAAATAAAAGTTGAGGAATTTGAATTTTAGTAATTGAGTCACGTTTTATTTTCTTCATTTTTTAAAATCAATTTCCACAATTCGAACAAGTGTTTTGAGCCATACTAAAATGTCCAAGATTTATTTTATTCTTAATTTTTTCGTTCAAAATTCACTAATTTTCATTGAAATTCTTTTGAAAATCTTCCGGTAATGTGGATTATACTTCAAAAAATTATTCGTTTAAATATTTCTCATATTTATAGGCGTATAATCAATACTATGCAAATACTTTATAAAGATTTCCACCAAAAATGCAGAAATTATAAACAAAAAAAACTTAAAAATAAAATAGATGCAGAGCTTTGCTTAACGTCAAGCACAGCTCACAACACTTATTTTTATTGTGAGAATTGATCCTATCCTATTTACTAATTATTAAAGATTATTACTAATTACTAAAGATTACTAAAAATGAAAGAAACGCGAAGTTGTTTTATATCGAAATATCTCGCAACTGCCTGACCGCTAAGCCCCAATTCTGATTGGTCAATGAGTCGCGTGAAGTTATCGCTGAAAAAAATCCCTGGTATTTTCAAATTCTTCAAATGTCAAAAAAAATTTCTGCGTCATATTTTTCATTTTTTCATGGGTGAAGTTTATCCTCATATCAAAACATATTTAAATTGCCTAATTGTTGATCATGAGAAAAAAAACAGTGTTTCTAAATTTTTTCAACTCACAAATTATTCTTCACTTCCCAAATTTGAATTTTTTCATATTTATCATCCGCAAAAATGATCAATTCTTGCTTCTCATATTTTCATACATAAATTCTAAACTCTACAAAATTCATAAAAATTCTTCGATTTCCCAAATAATTCAGGAAAAATCTACGGTTATCTGGAAAACTGTGAAATTGTCCGAAGAATTCAAGACATTTTTTCAGTTTTCTAGGAAATCAATTAATAACCCTCCCCTGATTTTTCAACAATTACAGATTTTAATCAGATTATTTTAAAAAGTAAAAAAAAAGAATTAATCGAAAATTAAAAATTATTCATTGATGTTTCACTCTTCATTCTCTTCATTCTCTTAATTCTCTTTAAGTCATTATCAATATTTATAAAACATCTGTGAGTATATGAAGTTTAATAAATTCGATTTCTTCATTTTCACAACAAAAAGATAAGCGCATGCGAAAGCGCGCGCACTGATCTAGTTAAGAAGAAAAATGACGTAACGACGAAAATCAAGTTTTTCAATTTGTTTTTTTATTCGTCGTGGTAAGCATCTGAGGATTGAGAATAAAAAATATTATCTTCAAAAATTCTAGAAATGGCGACAATGAAATTCATTGGTGCTTTGGTGCTTTGGATTTTGGAAATTAGGATCGGTACATTAGAAACACGCGGGAGACATCACGTCTCTCAAAAAATCAACGTTTACTTGCGAGGGAGGGAGGGTCAGGACTTAACTTGTTTGAGATGAAATACCTCACTTACGTTTCTCATTTCAAGAAATGGGTCCATATTTAAGAAACTTCCGTTAAACAAGCTTCGTCAAAAACCTTGGTCAAAACAACTTGGTAAGAAAAAAAAATAGAAGAAAAAAATTCGAACCTGAACTTCAAAAACTTGAAAAAAACTTTTAAACTTTTAACATATAAAGAAAATTGCAAAAAAAAGAAAAAAGTCCACCCACATACATACATACATACATACATACATAGAACATTCATACAGACACCTTCTAAAAATCCATATTCGGACTTTTTGAACCATATTTAGTTACCCTAAAAATTTTAAACTTAAATTTGAACGATTACGATTGTTTGGTTCCTTGGTAAAGGAACCAAACAGAACGGATTAGAACACTCTGAAATTCCAAACATAAATTCAGATTTTACCTATATTCTTACAACAGATAAGATAACGGAAAGGTTTTATTGACGGAAGTTTAATTAACCAAAAATTCACTTTCCCAAGTTGAACGAAGTCTCAACTGAAATCATGTAAAAAATCAAATCCGAAATTACAATTTTCAACCGCAAAAAATGAAAGAAAAAAACTTGATAATTCCTTGCATAATGAAATTTTTTTTTAAACGACTGGTAAAGTTGCAGCAATTTTTTCTCCTAGGTCTTTACGGGGTCTCCTGTTCAGCCACTTGGATTTTCTTCAGTTCATCTGCAATTCTCTTCGCCCCTGTGATTTTTGAGGTTGAACGAGCTCAGATGGAAGAGGCTCAACGCTCCCAACAAAAACAAGTTCTCCTAGGACCTAACACTGCCATGTCTAACATGGGCGGCCCTGGAATGCCAATGGCTCCTCCAGTCCAGCGATAAAAGTCTTAAAAACCCACGTCAGTACCTACCGAGGCATTTACCAAACTGCGAAATTTATTCAAGTACCATCTAAGTTTTGAGCGAATTGAATTAATGTGACAAGTGTAACTATAATTAACTAATCAATTGACATGATGAAACAAATTCTTAACAGTTCTGAATACTTTCTCAACCAGTCTGACATTCATATGCAAATTTTAGGGCATTTTGTTTCTTCTCTTTTCTTTTTCTATTTAATATAAAATAATAGCTACTGATGAAATTCTTCTTGCAATGAAATTCAGAAATTATGAATATAAAATAAACAATATTAGAAATAAAAAAAAATTAGAGTATTTTCGGTTTCTTAAACTGTCTTTCTTCGCTAGTGTAGAATTCAAAATTGAATTATGAATTAGATTTTTTTTTTATTTGAACTAATCGTTCTCAACATAAGGTAAATGATGGAGTCTGATTAGGAATAGTACCTGATCACGTGCCCGCATTTTTGAGTTTCTGTCAGTTTTTTTTAATTTATCGACGGCTTCTAAAAAAATTTATCCTACTTTGATCCTCAGTCGGAATCATGTAATTATCAGTGTTTTGTTGTGAAATGTGCCAGCCGTGTACCTGGAGTTTCATCACTGATAATTCACAATGTAAGTGACAAATTCGTTACAAAATGATTAATATCACACTTTAAACCATTATTAAAAGACTCAGAATAGTGGAAAACCCATCAGAATTTTTTAGACATAAATATAATGATCAAAAACTCACACGAATTCTAACTCCACTGAGAAAAAAATTAATTTCGCTAAATATCCATTTACTTGAGAGAAGTATTAATTTTTTCAATACCGTATTTCTCCAGTCGAGTCATTCCTAGGCAATCTTCATTAGATTTTAATTATGACAATTACATTACTCTAGAAGATGATCATGTTAGTTATGAACTTCCTCAATAACTATCAATATTTAAACATTAATCAAAATTCTTTCTTCTAGAAAATAAATTTTGGAAAAATGAATAGTCATTGGAGGAGTTCATCCTAGGTCATGCGCAACATAGTCATCCTCTAGAGCAACATGATTGTCATAATTGAAACCTAATTAGGTTCGCTTAAGAATGACTCGATTGGAAGAGAACGATATTGAAAAACTAAATGCTTCTCTCAAGGAAATAAATATTTGGCAAAAATTTTTTTTCTCAGTGTTCGCCACAGTTGTTAATCGTAGGATTCGTGACATATTGTCTAGCATTCGTTCAGTTCAGTCGATCGATTTTTGCAAAATTATCATTGGAAAGTTCAATCAGTATAAATATTTACATCGTGTTTGCCTCGTCTTCATCATCATGATGACCACAGCGATCAAATTCATTGGGAGCAAATATATATGAACAGGCAAATGATGGGAAATAGGGTGCTGATTCTCTTAAAATAAATATGAAATGAGAGAAAATTGAAGGAAGAGCGAGATGCAATTGGGAGGAGGGTGATGTGTGGAAATCCCCTAGCTGCCCGATATATCAAACAAAAGATTTTACGTGAATCCGGAATTCCGGCCTACTCATGATCGGAAACTCATTCATAAGGCAAAATGGTGATCAGCAAGTGTCTGCAAGACCAAAATTTTTTAGCTTCGTATTTTTATTAATTATACGGTTTTGAAATTGAAATTTTGATTGTTAATTGTAAATAAATATCAGTCCTTTAGGTTCAAAAAAGTTGTGGTCTGATTGACCTTTCTTATTTTTATTCATCTTTGATTAAGGCTACTGGGCTTAACCGATCAGAAACTGTATCGTCTGCCCTATGATGACAACAAATATAGGAACAAAATTGTAAATGAGTCAATTACCAAATGAGTGACATATTTCTGAATTCAGTTTTGGTCAAATAATATAAGGGCACTATCAGTGTGAAGAAACATAAAATACCGAGAAACAGAGTGTTCCAAAATTAGTGACTGAAATATTAAGGGATAAAAAAGGGTGAAATTCTGAGTTGAAAATTCTTCTTTCCCTTAACTCCGGATGATAGGACGTTATTAACCCCTCACGGACGGGGCCCTTCTGTTACAAGGCGTAGTGTGTTCTCAATACGACTTGAATTCGATTATTTTTAAGGGGGGACCTATCGTAAAATCCTAACCTCCGATTTCCTATCGTAAAAAGGAGAAAGGAAATCGATCTCGAAATGTCTCGAAAATCTCGAATAAGCGTAAGCGTAAGACCGAAACCGAAGCGCCANCCGGAATGACAAAAAATGCTTTTATCGCCGTGTGACATAAGATACTATTCCCTTCTATAATCACTTCACCAGATAATACTTTTATCTCCTTATGACATAAGATACTATTCCCTTCTGATTATCTTTGCATTATACCGGAAAAGTCTTCATTTTGGATAGCTGACGATCAGAAGGAAAACCCCCTTTTTTTCATTTTTTTTCGATTGGGTTTTTCCAACTTCTTAACATCTCCCATCATATAACTAAAGTCGCTCAATAAGTCACCAGATCCACCGAAGACTTTCAAATTTCACCGGGGTTCCCCCTCAATTTTTTTTTTACGGCCTCGGAGTCCCTTTCGGGTTCCATTCGGCTTTCTCCAACCCTATGCATGCGGCTGTGGATTCTACACTGTACCGCATTCGCACTCCTATAGAACATATAGAGCTGCGGGACACCCCCAAAAAAACGCTTCTAAATCGACCAACCGACCACTCGCGTACTAATGCGTAATTTTTTTTTAATCAATAGAATATGACCACGGAACGTTAGCTAAGCAATTTTTAATTGATTTTAGGCATTGGAACCCTTCTAAATGTCATCCAATGAGGTGGGGTATGCACCGTAGTCTATAGGCTGGAACTAATGATCCCGCATCAATTGCGGAATCGCCGAGTTTCATGAAATCTATGTTTTTTGGGTCAAGGATTCCAAATNTCGATCGCGTATGTTAAAAAGTGGGAAAAATCCCGCACCCAATCGGTTTTGTCCCGTACTTCCACAGAAATAGTATATTATGTCATCAGGCGATAAAAGTATTATCTGCCGAATGTGGGTTTATAATCCGAGCCAAAGGCGAGGATTATAATCACATTCGCCAGATTAGTATATTTCGTCACTAGGCCGAAAGAAACTTTTCTGGCGAATATGAGTTTGCAGCCCTCGCCTTCGGCTCGGGCTACAAACTCATATTCGCCAGAAAAGTTTTTTTCGGCCTAGTGACGAAATATACTATTTTGTTATGACGGCCGTAGGCAGAGATTCACGGACGCGGAGCGGAGCGCAGCGTTCGTGAAGCGCTGCCTCACGGCCGGAATGACAAAAAATGCTTTTATCGCCGTGTGACATAAGATACTATTCCCTTCTATAATCACTTCACCAGATAATACTTTTATCTCCTTATGACATAAGATACTATTCCCTTCTGATTATCTTTGCATTATACCGGAAAAGTCTTCATTTTGGATAGCTGACGATCAGAAGGAAAACCCCCTTTTTTTCATTTTTTTTCGATTGGGTTTTTCCAACTTCTTAACATCTCCCATCATATAACTAAAGTCGCTCAATAAGTCACCAGATCCACCGAAGACTTTCAAATTTCACCGGGGTTCCCCCTCAATTTTTTTTTTACGGCCTCGGAGTCCCTTTCGGGTTCCATTCGGCTTTCTCCAACCCTATGCATGCGGCTGTGGATTCTACACTGTACCGCATTCGCACTCCTATAGAACATATAGAGCTGCGGGACACCCCCAAAAAAACGCTTCTAAATCGACCAACCGACCACTCGCGTACTAATGCGTAATTTTTTTTTAATCAATAGAATATGACCACGGAACGTTAGCTAAGCAATTTTTAATTGATTTTAGGCATTGGAACCCTTCTAAATGTCATCCAATGAGGTGGGGTATGCACCGTAGTCTATAGGCTGGAACTAATGATCCCGCATCAATTGCGGAATCGCCGAGTTTCATGAAATCTATGTTTTTTGGGTCAAGGATTCCAAATTTGTCAGTTATTTAAAAAAACAAGCGTTCTATTTGTTATTAACAATTTAATTGTTCAAATCGTCCTATCACCCAAACTATGGGAGGTAGACAAAAATTTCCAAATCATAAATTATCTAGAATTTAATAAGGAGTAATTTTTGTCTTTTGTCAATTTCATATATCTCCTTTAGATTTCGAGATATGAGTAATGAAAGAGTTGCATGACTCAGGCCCACCGCGCGCCGCCAGCGGAGACCGCTGTGTCGGGTTGCCCAACTACTTTATTGCTCATATCTCAGAAGCTACAAGAGATACGTGAAATTGACAAAGGACAAAAATTATTCCTTATTAAATTCTAGATAATTTATGATTTGGAAATTTTCGTCTACCTCCCATAGTTTGGGTGATAGGACGATTTGAACAATTAAATTGTTAATAACAAATGGGCCCCAATGCCTAAAATCAATTAAAAATTGCTTAGTTAACGTTCCGTGATCATATTCTATTGATTGAAAAAAGAATTACGCATTAGTACGCGAGTGGTCGGTACATGTCTGAAAATTGGGGGTATCCCGCAGCTGTAATAGAAGTAACATGGGGAAACCAACAGAAAACTCATGCCGGTATAGGTGGTTCCTCTATTAACAATATCCCACTCGCCGGAGCCTTCCGTTGAAAAATTCGGTTCCACGGAGAATCGAACTCACACCCTTTCGCACACTAGACTTGCGTCCAATCCACTCGGCCACCGACGTCGGTATGGTCCCCTCTTAATGAATGGAAAATTATGAAACCGGTATCTAATTAAAGCTACAGTATTCCGGTTTCCAATTTCGTTTGTCTGATCAAGTTATTTTTCATAGATTTGGAAATAATCAATTTTTAAAACAGGCCTTTACTTTCGCATGGGTCGATACCATGCATCGACCCCGTACGAGAGGGGTTAAAGTGCAAAGGAGTTACGACTTATGGACAGAAACAGTAGAAAAGGAAGAGGAGGGTTCCTCTGAAAGGGATATCAAAACTGATCCCGTCCTCCCTCCTCTCTGAATTCTTTTCCATGGATGAATATGTTTACTTCATGATGTATGTCTCATATAACTGCTTCATGGCTTTGCACAGTTTTCCGATGTAACTTACATTGGTATCAGGTCGCATTTCGCATTATTGTGTTTCAGTGTATCTTCTTATGCTTAAGCTACTTATAGTAATTGTATGCTTATGTTTTTTGGTATTTCTGTTTCCTGCTTATTGGCTTATGTCATGTTTACTTTTGTACACCATAATGTACAGTTAATAAATCCAATCAATCCTCCCTCG